TTAATTATAATTAATAAAGTTATAGTGAAAATACTTTTGCACAGAAAAAAAGTATTTTGAAATATAATATTTTAGTACATATTGCCATAGCTTTTTGAAGAGTAATTATAAAAATTTGAAATTTTAGTATAAGAAACTTTTAAATTTATATATTTAGAATACTTATACAAGTTGTTTCATTAGTTTTCTACTATTATTTCACAAAAAAAGTATTTGGTGAATTTATTATACCAAGTGTATACAAGTAACTTTAAATTATATTGAGCTTATTAATTTCACAAATTCAAAAAAAGTTACAATTTCTAAAAATAATTTAAAAATAGTAAATATAAAAGATAGCTAAAATAACTTATTAGATATTACTTATTTACTTTTTAACACTTTTTATTATTACTTTTTATTATTTTTCATTATAACAAGAATTTATTATAACATGTATGACTTGTAGTATTCTCTCGATATAAGCTATAAAGAAGATTTTTTTCTTAACCCAATGTCTTTACTATATCTGGGTATATTATTTATATTTTAATAATATATCCAAGTCGAATTTCATATATTTAACTGTTTTGATATTATAATACTCATCTTCAAAAATATCAATTGGATGACTTTGTTGAAAATAAGCTTGCTGGCCATAATTATTACAAAAAATTACACATATAGGTTGCAATATTACAACAATTACAACGTATAGGTTGCAACATTACAATTACGGGCAGCAAGCTTATTGAAGATAATATTAATAATACATTATCACAAAGTTATCCAAATTACCTTGAGTTAAATTTTTACCCGAATTAATACCTTCATTTTCCAAATCTTCGTTTTCTTCATTTTCAATTATTATCAGACCATTGAGGTTGTTCAACCCAACCATAGTCAAAAATATTATTAGCTTCAGTTCCATTACGGGCATTAGAGATGCCACAACACTTGAATAAGTACTTAATAAGGTGAGTATCAACTATGTCCCATGCAATTTTACCCATTCAGCAATAATACTATAACTTGGATATTGTAGGTGACCAGAAGATATCAAATATTTTATTTCTTCTGCCATTCAATTATTATATTGGTAATTCTATAATGAATAAATCTATAAGTTAATACATTGAATAAATAAAAAATATACAACTTTATCTTTGATTTAAATTATTTATTTATATATATGTCTAAAGGTTGAAGTTTACTGGTCATTCTCCTGGAATTACAACCATTTTTTGTATTTTTTTTATTGAATCGATGTTTGACAGGATCAGTCGAATGATCATAAAAAGAATCCAAAACCAATAGGTAGTGTGGATTGTTCAATAATAATGCACGTTAACTCCATATATTTTGAATACACCAAATCATTTCATTACTATTCATATACCCTTCTCAATTGATACGAATTATTACTCCAGCAGGAAACTTTTGTGTGAAACATTGACCAATTTAAATACTGGAAGTAACTTTTTGCCATCAGCCATACATGTTAATACAATAGTAAGATTTGATTTTTCGTGTCCTATTGTCCGAATGCTAACAGTGCTTGCTCCAGTTTCTTCAATATTTGTATTATTAGAAACATCAAAGGTTTCACCCATGTTTCTGATTAGTGACAAGGAATAATTATGTTGAATACGTTGATATAACACAAAACTTTAAAACTGATATAGTTTTTGTGCAATTGTAGAACTGAGATGGTGGCAGTTCATAAACCCAGCCAACGCTTGTCACTCCATTTATAATCACCAATATTTGGATAAATTATAAGCAAGCGTGATGTTTTCGCCAAAGATTTTGTTTTAGAACGAACCATAAAACATGATACGACTTTTTGTTCTCGGCGTAAAAATCTCATCCAAATAACAAGGTCATCCTCTAATGTTGGATATCGGAGCTTCACACCAGCTTCAGCAGATCTTAAATACCATTCAAATGCTTTTTTCTCATTTTTATTTGTTCCATTTCCTTGAAAATAGCACTCTGCAAGACGATGCTGAGCTTTGTGAGCATCAAAACATTCTGCCTTTGCTAATGCCTTGATACACGAAAATACTTTCTGTAAGTCTCTATTAGTTTCCTCGCTGTAATGGTAACATATACCAAGATTGAATAATTCAGTTCTTGTAACCTTTGATAATTCTAAAAATAATTCAAATGCTTTTTTTATCTCGTTGTATTCTGATTCCGTTTTGATAACACCAACCAAGATTAAACTGGCCACTAGTATTTCCATCCTCTGCTGATTTTAAATACCACTCAAATGCTTTTTGCTCATCTTTTTGTGTTTTCACGACATATGGTAAATAAAATATACGGTAATTGTAATGGTTAAAATAATAATATAAGGATAAATATATAATAAATAGAAATTACTTTCGATTATTATGCTTTAGTTCGAAACACAGGTAATAGACTATGAAATATAAATTTTAATGTTGACATTTAATTAAATAAAAATAGTTTAAAATTTAATTCATTTAATAAAGAGCATAATATTGGAAGTCTTGCATTATTTTCTTGAAAAGCTTATCCTTATTAATTTCTGTTTTACAATTCAAAAGAAGTCAATAAAAAATATCAAATATAACTTTACCTTTGTTTGGAATATGCAAACTAACACTTGTAGGGCCTAAAATTTGATATAAATTTTTATTAATGTGAAATAAATATAGATATGGTTTAAAATCGAAAGTGCCTGTATCAGTTGGAATCGAATTAATTTTGTAGTAAAAATTCAACTGGTGTAAATTGCATTTTGATAAATTCGTTGAAATTCATATAAAAACTTTGTCTTTAATTACTTGTTATTTGGTATAGCTATGCAATCAGTGTTCTTAAAATAAATTTTGCTTTCATGTAGTTCAAAATGTTCCACTCTCATTTGTTGTTGTGATGTCAGGATATTTTAAAATTTTCAAAATTTCCTTGAAGTATATATTTTCTTGATATTTTTGATATAGACTAGCATTATCAATTAAGTCTGCAGTGATAGTAGTGATGGTGGCAATATATGATTGTTTTGACAGTGCATCAATGATAAAATTACCTTTGATTTATATTTTACATCAAAATCATTTGCTTATAAAGTTTCTAATTAATGAGCTTGATGTTTTGATATATTTCAATAATACATCATCAGTGATGACAGTGAATTTTTGACCTTTTAAATATGATTTCCAAAGGCAAATAGTTTATAAATTGCTAAAAGCTCTTCAATAATAAATTTATACCATTCAGGAACAATACAGTGGCTCACACATGTAACAGAACACGAAAATTAACTTGCTAGGATTTTATTTCCTTGACTATTAGTTTGAACAAAATAAAAAAGTGTTCATTTAAAACCTTGAAACCACTAAGAATTTAACAACATATTATTTTGTGAAATAAAGTGATTTAAATCAAGATTTACAATTAGTAAATTTCTCACATTAAGAACTTTTTTTCTATGACAGATTCAAATTTGGACCACTAATTAAAAATATTCTACGCTATGAAATCTACCTATTTACCAATTTTTACTGAGATTTGAGATTCTGAAGGACCGAATCTATGTTATGAGCATTAATTCATGTATTAATGCTCCTAGCATCAATTCGGTAAATATATATATAAAAATTGGTAAATAGGTAGATTTCATAGAGTAGAACATTTTTAATTAATGGTCCAAATTTGAATCTGTCATAGAAAAAAAGTTCTTCAATGTGAGGAATTTACTAAGTGTAAATTTTGATTTAAATCATTTTATTTCACAAAATAATATGTTAAATTATTAGTGGTTTCAAGGTTTTAAATGAACACTTTTTTATTTTGTTCGAACTAATAATCATGGAAATAAAAATCCTAGTAAGTTAATTTTCGTGTTCCGTTACATGTGTGAGCCACTATATATCAAAAGTGCCGGATTGAAACTCTGTTCGGGTCGGGTCTGGTTTGAGGTCAAACCGATCTGATAAATTTGAATCAGTTCGGGTTCAGGTCGGGTTTGATCCGAAAATCATAAAATAGTATTTTGTTAATAACTTTTATTTTTACTTAGAGGAGTGACAAATATTAGCTAATATCTATTTATTATAGGGAACCCGCCCCTTTCTGAGATTTTATTTAACACACGCACTTGAGATTATATTAATGCCTGAGATTTGGCCATCCTCTCCCCTATAATATTAGCTAATATCGATTATTTAACTAAGACACTTGTATTTAGAGTTGTTCGGAATGTTATTGTATATATATTGACAAATTTCGATCAATTTGATTAATATTGAATGACTTTTAATCTGATCCGAAATATTTCGGGTCGGGTTGACACTAACCCAACCCGACTCGAAGTGTGCGGTTCGGGTCGGGTACGGATTTGACCCGACCTGATTAGAGCACTATACCGGATACTTTGTATTATCGGTTCTGCAACTTTTTAGAAAAATAAATTGAAAGAACTTGATAAGGAGATGACAATAAAATCGAAGAATTAATGAGGATGTAAAGTCGCTTGGTGAGAAAGAAGAACTTGATGAGGAGAACAGAAAACAACTACATCCAAATGCAATTTACACCAGTCGAATCTTATTATTCAATTGATTTCAATTTCAACTGACACAGGTACTTTTTCATCTCGAAATGTAAATCATATTGATATTTCATATTTATCAATACTTAGGCTCTACAGGTGAAGTGTCAGTCTATATGTTCCAAACGAAGGTAAAATTACTCGTTTATTATTTTTGCATTATTTTCTTTAGTTCATAATTATTTTTTCTTCGCAATACAAAACATGATTTCGATTTGACATTAACGTTAAGTACACCACATTAAATCCAAGAGAATGAAAATATACATGTACATGTATCGAGTGTCTTACAAGAAATACTATAAATCCATGATGAGTAATTCACCTCGAACGGGTAATAGCGTAAATGACTCTTCAATGTTTCATTATCAAGCACATATAAATACTTCCTTAAAAAGACAGACGGTATTTACTATCTAGGAAAGGAAAGGCAACCATGAAGCAGAATACCTCGGAAAAACTAAAACAACGCTCGGTGAAAAAAGTATTCTTATTAAATACATACGGAACCAGAACTAGTTCGAAAAAAACACTTCAGCAACGAATAGATGAAAATGGTTCAATAATCATGCACACAGCCACAGTGTGAAAATCGTACCCGTATTCATTTGAAATCGATTTTAATATCAAGAAATAGAAGGCGACATTAAACCAACAAACATTTATTTAAAAAACGACGACTTCGTGTTAGACGCAGAAGAAGTAGATAGAAATTCTGAAAACTATAGAATTTCCGGAGTATATACTACTGATATACCCCTGAGAGATTTACGTGAACAACAACCAGCATTCGTGGTTGAAAGAGGAATCTATATTGGAAAAACACCATGGAAGGAAAATCGCTAAACTATTGAAAAAACCAGGATTGAAAGTAACATTCTATGGTGAGCCTGTAGAAGAATGGCCAACACTTAAGAATTCTACGAACAACCAACCTCTTCGGATATAAACTGTCAACTCGAAATCATTCAGACTCGAATAAATCAGAGAAAAGGTGAAAGCGGAAGACCATCCGATTACGTGCGTGGTATACTTTAGAATGTAGACAAACGGGATAATCTTCAGAAGCAAAGATCTAAACGACCCAAGCTTTTAGAAATGATGAAACCATTTTTAAATGATAATGAAAGAATGTTTGAAAAAGCCGTCGTTCCAATGCTCGATCATCAATCATAGTCTCTTCTGAAAGAATAAAGGGAAAAGAAATCAGAATCGATATAGAATATCTCGAAATATTATAATAAAAAAATCATTGAGGTGTACCTTTATCAAAAATTTACAATGTTAATACGGATCAGGATGAAGAAAAACCTTCCAGTACATACGAAAATTAGCTCAGAAATCAGTATATCCTCTTTAACGAAACGGGGATGGGTCTCAAAAAACTTTTGATAATGTCAAGGATAGGAATTCTGTCGTCGCATGAATACGATAAACAATCGAAGAAACAGTCTGAAAACAGAACCTGCCCTCTTATGAATGATCAAGAATACGATTGTAATGTCTTCTGAACATATGAAATAAGAAGACCGGAAAGAAAAGAACCGCACAAAAATAAGGTATGGCATCAGATTTCTGTTGAAGGTTTCGAAAGTTAGCCTCATTGGAAGAACAAAAAAGAAGAAAATTAGAGAAGGAGTATGAAGACAAGATAGTTTATAAATTTCTTTTATACAAATACTTCAAGAAAAATTAAAAAAGGAAATGTGCGCGGCGCGGGAGACAAGTAGTCTTTGATAACTGAAAAACAATCGCGAAAACATGTATAAATAACGACCCACTTGTCATAAATTGATAAATAATCGTGCTTGCACTTTGAATAAACAATTCATAACATAAGAAGTTTACCGCAAGCTTGTAATCTTTGATATAAAAGCTAAGTAGCAGAAACTGAAAAACTCTAAAAACAAAAAAAATAAACTGGCTTTGTTACACTTTACCTTTCTAATAGCAGATTTACTAGCCTTCATAATTACATGTAATAGCAATAAAATTTATATATAATATACAGAAAATCGTCAAAATAACGTTTTTAAAGAAAGAATCGAATATAATATCATTCTGTTTATAATAAAAGTCAAGGAAGCTGACATTTATGAGCTTCGTAACAGTACCTATAGGTAGTCACAACTACACAGAAAACGGTTATCAGTGTAACACGAACCATTAATATGTATAGCATCTAAAGTCAAACGTTTGTATTTTATAAAATGAATTAACTTCTCAACTAAGAAATTTAACGCGTGAATATGATAGAATAGGCCCTTCTGAATATATTCACGGATTAAATTTTGTATTACTCATTTTATAAAACACAAAATGTTTGATGACTTTAGATGTTATGCACCATAATATCATCACAGAAACTTCATAACCAAGTGGTGTTGTACATGTATTCATAACGATAATACATGTACTATTGTTGATCACCGCAGTATCGAACAGGAAGAAAACTGCCAAGCATACTTTCAGTCGATGAATGTTTCATTAATGCCTATACCTAGAGAATGTATGAATGAGGTGACTTACCAAATTTCGGAAACTTCTAGTACGTACGTACATGTATTACATATGTATTACATACGTGTGTACTTACATGTATGTACATGTAAATGAAACAAAGAATTACATGTATTATTGTTATTGAACTTCATAGAAAGCGTAGAGTCAGATTCTTATATAAACAAGTTTTGCTTTTAGCATTTTGTTCTTAAAATTTGAAACCTTTATCGAAACAAGTTACTGGATTGTCTCGAGACTTAAAAATGCTCTCCAAAAATCTCGTCACCCTTTTTCAACTGTTTTTTGTCTTGATATTCATATGCAATAATTTTGTTGTTATTTCATTGCCAATTAAAAGAGACAATGAGTAAGTCTAAGACGAAATTTAATTAGTTTATGCACTTTCAGGATAATTTGAAAAATATTTTATGTTACAAATTCCACATTTTTGTAGTTGCCCACCATGGACATGCATTGGTATCAATGGTATTGAGACAGGTAATGCAGTAGGTGGTTCAGGTATACAAAACACTGGTTATGGTTCAATTATACAAAACTCTGGTTATGGTTCAGTTATTGGACAAAACGGAGCGACCGGCGCGAATATTCTTGTAAATTGATCATTACTTCTTTATTGTGTATTTTATTTTTATAAAAACTGCTATATAATAATAAAAATTTTATTCTTTTCATCGATTCAGAATTTTCAATCCCAATAGACGAACATTAAAGTAACATCAGTTTTTAATTTAATAGTTGAATCCAAAACCGCTGCTTACACGATAATGATAGATCATTACTTTATAAATTTTCAACAAAGCTTTATCATGTAACGTTAATATTTATGTGATGATCGCTTAATTGATATACGAAGTTTCTTTGATATTATAACAATTTTAGTAAGAAAATAAAATAAAAATGATTATAATCTTTTATTTGGTAAATGGAACGAGTGAAAGAGTTGTCATATAGATAAAGGTCACTTTGTTACTTTTTTCTTAAGGTTAATGACAATCTCTTATTAAGACAGTTGACCTGCCTGTAGATTAACAGAAATTTCACCTGACTGATAGTATCATTACGTAATTAGTTTCTTCCATTAAGTATATTCAATTATTATCATTGAATTAGCTTAGTTTATTTTGAATTTTTGACTCGCCAAATATACAGTGGCGATCAAAAGTAATACAACAAAAAATTCATAAAGATGAAAATATTGAAATTTTGGAGCATACATACACTCGGAAATAATAGTTGACAGCAAGAATCAAAAGAAAAAAGATATACTTGAAGTCAGTACACATGCAATGTTGTATTGAATTTGTGAAAAACATTATTAAAGGTAATATAATCCAATGAGTCAAGATTTAAGATTTTGAATCAATAAATATGAATACTATTGGAAAAGATTAGATAAATTATTAAATAGCTCACATGTTAGACCTATAGTGAAATTAGTAATAATAGAGGAATAGTAAATTGTTTCAGCTCTCGCAGTCTTGACAATTTTTGTAAAATTGATAAGATAATGAATATTGTATTACATCAACATCGTTATGGAAGATCTTCTTAATACTATTGAGAAACAAGAATATGCTATTAATAATGTCTAAGGTCCGTTTATAAACTCGGATGTAATTTGCTTTGAATTGTGTAATGATTTCAACGCAATATCATATTCACCACCAAAAATTGAAATCAAATAGACTCATATAGACTCACATACTAACATAAAACAAAGATAAATTATAATCTACTTAATAAATTTTATATTAAATCAGAACTGAATGAAACTGAGAACTGAATCATTAGAATTTTTAATAATGTCATTTTCCAATAGAATAATAATCCTAAATATATTACAATTCAGATAAAATAATAATTCATTGCATTGACAATAATATATTTATTATAAATTAATTATGACTCCAGTTCTAAATTCAATTAAGCATTTGGAATATGAAATTGATTATTATCTTGCAGCTTGCTGAATTAATTTCAAATAAAGTAAATCTGTAAAAAAATATAACAGAATATAATGCATAAAATCTAAAGTCATTAAATATTTATATTTTGTAAAATATATAAACTTTTTTACTAAAAAGTAAAAAATTAAATTCATGAATATATTCAAAAAAGATCTATTCTATCATATTTACAAATTAAATTTTGTATTTACTTCTTAGTAAATAAATTTATATATTTTATAAAATATAAATATTTAATGATTTTAGATTTTATATATTTTATGAGAAAAATTATTATTCCAATTTAATTTGCTCTATTCTAGAATAAATTCAAGATATAATGAAAGTTCAAAAAGATTATATAAAAGAAGTATTTGATTTATATTATTATAGAAAAAATTTATATAAATATAATATTTTATTTTATTCCAAGTTATATAATACTTAAAAAAATAAAAGTTATATAATAACAAACTTTGAATATATATTATAATTACAAAATAATTAAATTAAACAATTTTAAAATTTTTAATTTTTTATTATATTATTTTTAATTAATATTATAAAAAAATAAGTATTATTTATTATTTATTTATTTTTGTGTGTGTTATTAAAATAAAATTATAAATATAATAATAATATAATAAAATAAAATTTGAGCTAAAATTTAATTAAATTTATTATTTATATAATAGTAAAATCTGTAATAATAAGTAAACCTTGTTTTATTATTTATATTATATGAATTTACTAATAATTAATTAATTAATTTCAAAATATAATAATTAAAATTATATAATTTAATCTAAAACTAGTTTTAAACTATTTAAATCTAATTTTATATATAATTTAATAATATAAATTTAAATTTTATTTATTAAATTATATATAAGTTAATTAGCTAAATTTTTTACTTCCACTTTAATTTTTTATTATAATTAGATATTAAACTTATTTAGATTAAATTAAAGATTTTATCTTATAATCAAGTTTTAGAAAAAAAATTATATTTGTTAATATTTATTAATTTTTAATATCTATATTAATATTTATAGATATTATTTAAAAGAAAATTTTGAATTAGATTAAAGTAACTTCTAATATTAATAAATTAAATTTATATTTTTATACTATATATATTATAATTTAAAAAATATATATAAAATTACAAAACTAAATATTTTTATATATAAAAAATTTTAATATTATTTAAACTTGATTTTATTTGATATTAATTAATAATAAAATTAAGAAAATTTATTGTTCTTGAATTCTTATTATATTATATATAATATAATATAAAAAATATTTTAATTATAAAGTTACTAATAATTATTTACAAAATTTCAAGAAATTTTATTTTTTGAAAAAAATTATAAAATTATAAAAAAATATAAAATTATATAAAACTTTAGTACTATTATAATATAAAATTTTATATATTATATAATTTAATTTACTTAATTCTGATTAGATAATTAATTTATATATAATTTATAAATCTTATTTATTTTTATTTTATATTATTTATAAATTATTTATATTATTTACTTGTATTTTATATTATTAATTTATTCTTAATAATTTCATATTAAATAATCTTAAAATAAAAATTAATATGTTATTTAATTAATATTATCTAATTAATTATATATTAATATAAATAATATATAATAATCAAATAATCATAATATTAATTAATTTAATTTTAAATTATAATAATTATATAATAAATAATTTATATAAATATAATATATATCTACAAGTAATTATTAAATAGTTAGCTTACTATTTATTTAATAATTTTTAGTTTAATATTTTTTTATAATTTTTTATCTTAATTATGAAATTATAATTATTTATTTTATAATCTCTCATCTTAAATATAAAGCTATATTTCTTTTTTTCATTATATCAAAGAATAGCAAAATCTTCTAAATATTCATGAACAAGTTGTACTTTTCTTGCATCAGTAATTCCATTGGCTTGGATAGTAATGTTAAAGTCTTTTAACCATTCTGTAGAATTATAATCATTTCCACAATATTTTTGAATAGGAATAATAATCTTTTCAGTTTGACGATTAATTTGTTCAGTCATTTTATCAGTTAAGGCTCCAAGAGCTATAACTAAGATATCAACATTAGCCATTTGGTTATTATTTTCTTCTTTAATTATTTCAGCATTTTCTTCTGTTTTTGAGTTATTTTCAGATTCTGAATATAATATGATTTATTTTGAGGATAATGTGTCTTTTGAATTTCTGATTTCAGAATAATATTTATTGATTTCACTATTATAACTAGGTGTTCTTGAATTGGTTTGTAATGAAAAGTCTTGTATGATAAATTATTGGTAAAAGTATTTTATTAATTCAAGTTGTTCTTTTTGAGTAGTTACTTGATTAAATAATAAAGTGTTTAATAATTAGACTATTCTTTGTTTGAGTTGAGTGGAGTGTACTTCTCCAAAGTTAATTTGAGTTAGCTCATTGAATAACAAATATGTGATATGATTTAAAAAGACTGCTCCAATATTTTCAATTATAATATGAAAGGTAAAAAATTAAAGTGACAAAACTTCTTGAAGGTGATAACAAAAAGAACAAAAGTATTATAGGGGAATTTAATTATTAAAATCAGGATTTCCATGTATATTTAAATGATAATCAACAGGTAATTCAACAAATGAATAATAATAATTGATTATAAAAACTCAAAACACAATTATTTTCAAATATTTGAATAAATAAAAAGAGTTATAAAGAAAGTACGTAATAATATTTTATAAGAGGGGTGTGGAATTTTATTTCCACAGAGGGAGCATCAAAAATATATTACTGTGATTCTGAATAGTGAATTTCACTGAGAATCACTATAAATATATAATGTTAGGAGAAGGGTAATTAAACTTGAATAAAGAGATTGAATTATAAATATTAGCAAAAGTTTCTAAGATCTGTGTCAATATTTATGGATATTGTGTATTCAAAGATCTAAATTACAAAAGTAATTTGAAAAAAGGATAAAAATATAAGGAAAAGAATAAAATAAATCAAAAGATTTATAATGATTAATAAGTAAAATCACTATTAATCAAAGAAAAATTAAACTAAAGAGTAAAATACTAATACTAAAAAGTATAAATCAAAAATAACAATTTAAATAAAACTAATATCGTAAAGATATA